CGGCCCCGTGGAGGCCGGCCCCGGCGCCTGCACCTTCGACTGCCGGCACCTCTACACCAAGAAGGTCTGCGGCGAGGGCTCCGTTCGCGCCGTCTCCTACAACATCCTGGCCGACACCTACGCCCAGACGGAGTTCTCCCGCACCGTGCTCTACCCCTACTGCGCTCCGTACGCTCTGGAGCTCGACTACCGGCAGAACCTGCTGAAGAAGGAGCTGGCGGGCTACAGCGCTGACCTCATCTGCTTGCAAGAAGTGGATAAGTCCGTCTTCGTGGACAGCTTGGCTCCGGCCCTAGATGCTTTTGGACTCGAAGGGCTCTTCAAGATCAAGGAGAAGCAGCACGAAGGCCTGGCCACTTTCTACCGCAGGGACAAGTTCAGCCTCCTTAGCCAGCACGACATAGCTTTCAGCGAAGCCCTGCTCTCGGACCCGCTGCACAAGGAGTTGTGTGATAAGCTGGCCAAATACCCCTTGGTGCAGGAGAAGGTGCTGCAGAGATCATCTGTGCTGCAGGTACCAGCTTTTACATGCGTTCTTCCTCTTTCCCCTCTCCAGGCAGGCACAGCCAAGTGAGGTTTGTTGAGCATGGAACCACAGGAGAGGGCAGGCGAAGGATTAAGAGTCTGAAACGTAGACAGAACAATGGTATGTTCTCTGTTAGCTAGGGTAATGAATAGAACAGAAGAGCAACTTAGGAACAAGAACAAAACATTGAGACTTTACTGAACTGGATATATGGAATTACCAAAATTCGGTAAAAAAAGCAAAATTATTTTCTTTGTTTTAAGATGAAGACAGCTGTTGAGATTCTGGGCCAGGTATCAATGGTGGTATTGGCTGCCAAGTTTTTCACTACTTACTCTTGTATGTCAGAATATGTGTTTGATAAAACTTAAATCTTGTAAATCAGGTGTAAATGAGATTAAATTAATTTGGCTTGCTTTAATAATGCCACTTTACAAAGTGACAGTAGGGAGGGAAATAAGGTTGGACAGGTTTGTGAGCTTGTTGATGCCAGTGGGTCTGCCAGCAGAGCTATCCTGTAAGTACAAACATGTAAGATGTAGGTCTGCATCAGGAATTTCAGAAACACTCAATAGTAAAAGTTTCCTACTCGTGCACTGAGTAGGACTAACAAGCTTTCCTTGATAACTGAAGTCACCTCTAAATTTACATTCAATTTAACAACTGCACTGCTACAGTTTGCTTGCTAAAATCAGAGAGACAGCTCCAATTCTGTTGCAGAGGTGGGAGAATAGAAAATAAAAGTAGTTAAGAATGGTACAGTATTAGCAACATCTTATGAAAAAATATGGAATGGACTGATGGAAAAAATACGGCCAAACCAGACACTTGCGGACAAAAGAACATTTGTCAAACACCTGGATGTACTGGTAATATCGGTAATGTATTGGCTGATATCCAGACCTAATACGGAAGATAAATAGATTCAACTTAGGAGGTGTACTGTTCATTAGTTACAAGCATCAGATTCTTTGAACTGGACCATAAAGGCATAAGCTAACTATTGCGTTTTTTAAAACACATAACCTCTCAATTTAAGACTTACCAAAGATTACATTTTCTCTTGAAGGTTTCAGTTCTTCAGTCTACAACTGATCCTTCCAGGAAGATTTGTGTAGCTAATACCCACCTATACTGGCATCCAAAAGGTAATTTTGTCATGTTCCTGTATGTAGGATAACTGGGTTTGTAAAGGTTTTTGTCTTCCCTAGGGAGAATAGATTTTCCCGCATTCTTTTGCAGCTATAACCTTTTCTTCTGGAACTGAGGGTTTCCTGCCTTGCTTCTTATCTAGATGAATCAAGCCAGGCTACTAGGTCTGTTTGTTTATTTTTCTTAGAGTAAGATTGTTCTAGTCTGCCTGGGAGTCAGTAGAATACAGCTGAAAGCAAGGCAAGTCATGTTACACACAATTCACCCAAAGAGTAGACCATAAAATATAGATAGCTTTGTGTGTGCTTATGGCTTCCCAATCCTATTGTACCTGAAGGAGTTGCCAGAAGGGCAACCAAATTGGACTACAGAACCTTTTAGAAGAGATTCTTCTCTTCTAAGTTAGTTTTCTTTTGGTTCTGTGCCTTTCAGGAACACTGTTAGGATTGTTGCCACGAAATGGAAAGCTGCTGTAATATGGGTGTTTAAGGTTCAGAGTTCTTGCATGTGCGAGTTTAAATTAAAACATTGTCTGCCTCTCTGAAACTTTCATAGTCACTTGCATAGTCACAAACTTCAAAGGCTTCTTTATTTATGAAAACTATTCTAAAATGTAGCGCACAGAAAATTTAAAATGAGATTACTGTTTCAGAGCTATACATGATACATGCTTAAATGAGCAACTTGGAAAATTCCTCCAATGTTACTGTGAAGTATTTAAAGCAATACATTTTTATATTCTTAGGTGGGAACATCCGTCTCATCCAAATCGCTGTAGCCTTGTCTCACATCAAGCATGTAGCATGGGATTTGTATCCTAGCATACCAATCATATTCTGTGGAGATTTTAATAGTACACCATCATCTGGGACTTACAGTTTTATTAACAGTGGTGGCATTGCTGAAGATCATGAAGACTGGGTCTCGAATGGTGAAGAAGAAAGGTGCAATATGCCTCTAAACCATCCTTTCAAATTGCTAAGTGCTTGCGGAGAACCTGCTTATACAAACTATGTTGGTGGGTTTCATGGATGTCTGGACTACATTTTCATAGACAAAAATGCTCTAGAGGTGGAACAGGTCATTCCATTGCCAAGTCATGAAGAAGTAACAACCCACCAGGCTTTGCCAAGTGTTTCACATCCTTCTGATCATATAGCACTAATATGTGACTTAAAGTGGAAATAGATCAGTTCTTGCATGGTGGTTTTGGGGGTTTTCAAACAAGAAATTTAATTTACTCCTGGGGAACTGAGGTTACACCCTGGCTTGTATGCTACTAAAAGGAAAGTCAAAACGACTTCTAAAAAGTTCATGTGTTTGATGGTTCTACTGAATATTATCACACTGTTCAGAATATTTGCATGACAACTTTTCCCTTCCCTTTTTATATGCTAATAGGAAAACCAAGTATATTTAAGACAGGGGGGTTTGAAAATTGGGTTATCATATACCTTTTTTATAGGTGTTTTTAAAGGATTAAGAATTATTTTGTTAAAAAAAGATTATGAATTTAATCTGATTTATAAGACTGTACAAATTGAACCATGCTTAGTTTGGAACCAAACACAGAACCTGAAAACAAGTGGCTTTAGTTGATTCAACCTTATTGTAATTACTGTCATGACAGGACAAATTTTTAAAATAAGTTGAGAAATTGTCTTGTTCACTTACCATTACTGTATCCAATTTTTTAGTAAGTGGCATGAACAATGTACTTGTACCTACTACCTTCTCAAAAGATGTTCTTTAATTGTCAGTGAATAGGCTTTCTGTCAACAATCAATCGTCTTAAATTCAAGATTATAATTTATTTGGAAGCATTTTGCTTGTCCACTTAATATGGGTAATGAGGGTAACTTTAGCACCTGGTAAAATTGGTTTACATATATAGGTAGCATCTGTTTTGAACATCTGTTCCTTCTGTTGTTTATAGTCATTGGCAATATAAGAAATACTAAAGTTTAGGACAGCCAACTGTGGATGGGAGGGAGCTTTTTAACAACATAATCTGTTTTCAGATGGTGGGGAGGACAGAATAGTTAATGTGGTGCGTTAGGTATCTGTGCCTAAATCTTGAAAAAGAAACACAAGTGACTTGCAACCCTTTGTCACGATTGTTCTGTTTTGTTCCTCTATTACATACAAAGATGACCTGAATTTTTAATAGCTTTCCCCACATTTTTTCCTTCTAGAAATAGTCTGGTCTTCTCTATTTTATAGGAGATAATTTGGATGGGTGGAAATGTATGTTATCCATACCTTCACTGAATGTGTTGGAGGGGTATGAATCATTTAACAAGCTTCTTTCCCTGTATCATTAGTCCATACAAAACAAACGGCATTTGAAAACCGTTTCACTAGATCTCCCTCTTTCACCTAATAAACTTTCCTTTTTAATTGTCTGTCACTGTTGTCACTTGATTTCTTTCCAGTTACTGGTTCTTTCATTGCAAAACAAGTCTGCCCAGGTTGGTAAAAGCTGTGTGCCCTATACTTGCACAACTGACTACTCGCCTCCACTGCATTGTGGTGGACTGTAGGTTATAGCTGGGATTCACCAAATTGTTTATATACTACTAAAAATAGGCAGTCGCTTTCAGGTAGCATATTGCTGAGAGTCGTTGGTCCTGTCTCTTGCTAGTAGTACCTGCTATACTGTGAAGGGTGGTGCTTTGCAGAAGCTTGTAAACATCTGCCCTTCAGCCTTTTCTATGTTATTTCCAATAAAATTTCTACTGGTTTTTGTTACTGTAGTATCTGAGCATCTGACAAGTTGATGCTGATGAACATCTACGCTAGTAAAGCCAATGGGCAGGTTTAGCCTCAGGGGTCATATAAGGCTAAAAAGTTGCAGGCCCATAAATCTCAAAACATGTCTCAATGTCTCAAACATCATGACATGAGAAGAAAAAAATCTCATGAACTGTCCAGAATATTGTTACCAACTATGCACATAAAACCACAGGTAAATGGGAATTGACAACAGGACCGTTGCACTAACACACAAGTTTGTAGAAGCCTGTATTACTAAGGATCTCATGTAAATGTCCTTTGCAAGTAGCTTTTTCCAGCAGGTTACCATCCATCTTCCTCTCATCCCAACTTCTCTTACCTGATCCTGCTCTACCACCACTGAATTCTGGCTACTTGTTCCTGCTCATGCCACACCAAACTAAAATAGGGAAGTGATCCAGCTAAAAATACAGGGCCTTTAATAATCTTGACTGTATTATCGTTCTAGGGGGTCATTATATCCTGAGCTGATTCATCATAAAGCCTCTTGTGCCCAAAGAGCAAGATACAGGCTTGGAGGTGGGAATAACCGATCAAAGCCTGAAGCAAGGCATTCACTTGCTTAAGCTGATCTGCCACAAAACATAACACAAGACCTCACTGAAGGAGCACTCATTTATTGTAATGGGCTTTGGCGGGCTTATATGTAAACCTTCAGAATTCAATTTTTGCTAAGTTACCATTTTAGCTAAGCCAAAGGGTAGCTAAGGGCTGTTGGATAAAAAATGGAAGCAAAACAGGGAATGTGGCAATGAATGATGTTAGATCTTTGCAACAGACCGAAGGACAGTACTCGCCCTGTAAAATTGGACCCTAAATACTTTGCGTGGGCCCCTGATCAGTTACTATTCTCTGATAAGTCTAATTAAAAAGTAAAATGTCATTCAATCTTGCATATGAATTGAAGATGAAGTCTGTACTCTTGTAGACAACAAAGTTGATAATAAAAGTATTGGTGATTCATAACTAAACTTCAAGATACAGGAGTGAGGAGAAAATCTTGCAAACAGAATGGAGGCTGTAAACCTTGTATCTGGGCAAAGAATATTTACTAGTTTAGTAAATGAGGGAAAGCTTACACCTGAAGATGTAACGTTTGCAAGCATATGGCATCTTAAAGGGCAGAAAAATTAAATGGAAGATCTGTTCAAGAAGAAAAAAAATCTAAGTATTTAAATACCTTGGAAAAACACTGAAAATGACCACATTACAGCTCAGTCAGAGGCCTTCTACAATTTGCCAGCTCTGAAAAATCTGAGGGGAAAACACCCCCAAAAACCAAACTCCACTGAGTAATGCAGCCTTGTAGACTGCAAGAGAAATGTCTCAGTCTCAGTCACTTAGAATAGTAAGATTGCAATTGTTAAGTTTGGAAGGGAAATTATATTACTTAGGCTGAGATCCCTTGTAACTTTAAAAAACATTCTTTTCCTCCTTTTTAAGTACCTATCAATTTTAACTGGGTTACTTCGTCTTAGTTTCCAAAACCAAAACATTAAAAATCTGTAACTTCTCCATAGCACCAGAAGATGGAGCTGCTCAGAGAATAGACTTGCCTGGTATTCTGCCTCCCTTCCAAGAAGCGGCAGGTCCCTCTCATTCCCGGGATTGGTACATGGGTTGCTGCTTCTGTCTCCTTGCAGACCAAGGAGAGGGAGAGCACAGGAAAGCTGGCATCTGCAGGAAGCAAGCGGTAAGGGAAAAACACGGCACTGGAACAGGCCCAGTAAAATTAGATGGCCCTTGCACATGGCAAATAATCCTTTAGTATCTTCAGGAGGAAATTCAGCCCCACAAGCTGGAGATTCTCCAGTCAAAGTATCCCTGGTTTAATTAGTAAAATGCAGCAGCACAGGCTGACTGCCCATAGGAGCAATGTGACAGGGACCAGGCAGACCTTTCTGGAGTGAGAATGCAGCACTAGGGTGTGGGTTAGGAAAAAGTCACAATTTTAAACAATTGTGATTTTTTGGGGGGTGAAAAGCAATCCTTAGATACACCTTTGGCCCATATCCCAAGCTATGTTTACATCTACATGAGGTAATATATGGTGCTTCCTACTCCACATAAGGTGATTTCAGCTCCCATTTTAGCTCCCCCTACACATCTGGACCTTGCCCAGCAATTAATTCTTTCTCTCTAAGTCACCTCTAGAACCCAGATTTGTAGAAGCCCCATTAAGCTTCTCTCCATTTTATTTCATAAACCTAAACTCACCTGTGTTCCTCTTCCAGCAATTGGAATGCTCCATCTTCTTCTCATCAAAAAATTGGGCAAGATCCTCTTTGCATCTTTTCAAATGTGTTTGGGTTTGTTTGTTTGTTTTGGTTTTTCTGGGTGGGTTGTGGGGTTTTTTTTTGTTACTCTACTTTCCCAGACCAGCCATTAAGGAAGAAGGGAAAAAGGAACATCTCACTTTGCTTTCTAATCGACTTTCCCATCTCTGATGCAGTAAACTCAAGAGAGACAGCACTGCTCCAGCATCTGCTCTGACTAGCTGTTGTCTTGGGAAGAAGTTTCTTCTTTCACACTGGCTCCTGCTGTGGACAAACTTGTCACTCGTAAGAACATTACTAGAACTAAGAGCACTGCAACACTGGTCTTCTGGAGGTAATAGGTACTTGGCTAGTTTTTGGGTTGTTCTGGTTATTGTGAAATGTAGTTTACCTGTGTATTTGATATGTGCAAAGAACAACCAAGTTCTGCCAGATCCTTCAGACTGGTCTGGCAACTTGGAACTTGTATTATTTTTTCCCCTCACCTTATCCATACCAGACAAAGGGGTCTTAGCCACCTGTGAGTTAGTACTTGAATTCTTACACGTCAGTATTTCTTGTATCACTGCTATTTTTGAAGGGACTAATCCAAGCTTTCAGTAAAATGTATTTATGTATCATGATAAAGCAAATAATAATGCAAAGTATGATTGAGAGAAGAAGGAAGAAAAGGAAGAAGAAAAATGGTACATGAAAAGAAGGGGAAAAATACCCAACATGCTAAGGAGTCAGATCTTTCAACACCTCAAATTAATTGTGTAGTTGCCTCATTTCTCACATTCCTAGCATCAAAAAAATTGTTCCAAGACTTTTCAACTCCCACACAGTAAGAAGAGCCTGAAACATTTCAGTTTTCCTAGAATTTGCATCAGATCCCTTAATAGAACCTGATGCTTTTAATTTTTTTTCTGCACAACACACAACACATTCAGTAGCTAAGCTTTATTCATAGGTCCAACAGCAGCATATAAAATGTCATTTCTTACTCAAGTCCCCTGTCAATACCACTCTTGACAAGGGTGGGAAAGATGTATTGGGACAAGGTGATGTGCAAAGTTTCATTATATTGTAGTCAAATTGCCTTTGTCTAGACCTTAATATAAAGATTCCTCAGATGAGCAAGGGACTGCAAACTGGGCTCTGAATTCTCATTACTGGCAAAACCCTAAACCACTTTTTACACAAG